AATATAATTCTACCAACATGGGACTTTGGAGGAAGTGCCATCGGCTGGGATTTGACCAAGATGTGGAGGAACTCATTGCTAAAGGTAGGAGCTTCCTTTTAAAACTTACTTGGTTGAGCTACTTCCTAGGATCATGGGATGCTCTTAAATGCGTTGCCTTGGAAGTAACTCCTGTTGAATGCAGCGGGCCAATGAATTCCAATTAAATAGCTACGGTGAAGCCAAAGAAAAGCTACTGTTTCAACCTTCCCCCCAACCTGGTGCCCTTCAGAAGGTTTGAACATCAGCTACTGTCACCCTTAGTCAAGATGGAAGAAGCTAGGTAGACATTATAGGAAGGGAAAGCCATTTCCTGTGCTGGGTGACAGGCTATAGCTCTGCTTCAAGAAGGCTATAGTGCCTAAAACCCATTTACCAGATTATCCCATAGGCTTGATAATCATGGGTGAGATAGTTCTGTTTTACAGAATCCAGAAATGCGAAGTGCTGCGAATGCCATGTCGGTTTTATCAGGTTATCCAGTACTATGGTATGATGAGCTGTTTTAAAAGCCAAAGTAGAGCAGAAAGTTCACAGAATCCAATATCACTTATCAGAAGGCTAGATTGTTTCTAAGTTAAGATTCATAGCTCTTTTATAAAAAATAATAAAAAAGGAGAAATGGAAGAGAGTGAGTTTAGTGGTTACAGGTTATTTAAAAATGGACTCTGAATTTCCATTGGAAGGAATAATATGAATGCATTAATGAAACTCTGAGATGGCATCATTTCATCCCCCTCCCAAAGAGTCATTATCTTGATCAAAAGCAGCCATGTATTATTCTTTCTTTTTTTTTTTTCCTGTAAAGTGTTTGGCTAAAAATGATGGCCAGCATATTTGTCTGTGTTATTTCTTTTTTTCTTTTTTAGAACAGGCAAAGTATAGACAATTCTTAATTATGCTGGATAAATTATCTGGATGAAAGTTGCAGACAGATTGTTTCTGAAATGATTCCTTGTTGCATTTTAATTTTTATTGCTGTGCTACAGAAAAATACTCTCCAGCCAAATGTATTAAAAGGATCACTTTGTAGGGGTTCTGTTAGAAACCTTAAGCAGTTACATTACTCTTTATTTTTGTCCCCCCCCCCCCAATTTTTAATTTCTTATTCAGTATAGATTCCAAACACACTTATGTGGATACCCTGTTTCTCCAACAATACGGCCTCCCCCAATAGGAAGTCCCAGCATGTTTTATAGGCATGAAATGAAATTAAGCCCCTCCCCCCAAATTAAGGCCTATATTAAAACATGCGAAATGGGGGGGGAATGGTGGGGGGGCTTGCTGTTAGGAAGTACTTTTGTTGCACACCCGGATATGGTGCTACCTGCGTTGACCCCGATATGAAGTGCCCCACCAATGCCGAGGTCAACATCCAAGCCGTCGCTGCCCGCCCGCCCGAAGATGCAAGGGGGGGAATTAAGTCACCCCTGAAAAGACAGCCTAGCCATTTTTTCGGGGCTCAAAAAAAAATAAGACCCGGCCTTATTATATGAGAAACACGGTATATGTAATTGGTTCAATTTATTTTACACAAGGATTTCAAAAGCTGATGCGTGAGATTAAACATCCTTACCCAAAAAAAAAAAAAAAAAAAGCAATCCAACAGAAGCGTGTTGCCTTTTCATTAGGAGTTCAGATACAACCTTGAGGTTTAATAGCCAGGAGGTGTGATGGACTAGCAGCTGTTTGGTGACTTCATGAAATGTATTCTTGGCTCTGTTCCATTTTGTAATGGGCGGCTGTCCATAATCAAAAGCTGTTGTCACAGTTGGCACCGTGGCTGACTGGCTCAGCAGGGAAATCAAGGATTCTTCCAGGTCAGACCCTGAGTTTATTGCAGTATCACCAAAAGGAGCTGTGGGGATATATCTTGGGTTAATCTCTTCTTTGACAAAGTAAATAATGTAGGTTACAGTAGTCTGATGCTTTTAAACCATGGCTTAAATATTGACGGAAGCTGTGCAATTCATATCAGTGGGGGAAAATGAGAATTTCAACTCAATGATATATTTCTTAGGTAGCTTCATGTAAACCACCATTTACCTGACTCAATTGCCCATTTGCAAACCCAAATTATAAGGAGGCATGGTCATGAAGATGGAATAATAAAACCTGATTACACATCATAGCACTAGAGCAGGGGTGTCAAACTCATGACGACACACCATGTGACATATCACAACTTCCCCGCTCCTTCACTAAAACAAGGGTGGGCGTGGTCAGTGCATGATGCATCTGGCCCACAGGCCACAAGTTTAACACCCCTGGGCTAGAGTGAAACAAGGAAAATCTAGATACTGAATTGGAAAGGCTTGAAATGATGAATAGCTAAAGCCAGTTTTATGAATCCCTTTTTCCCTTGAAGTTGCTACTTACCAATTACACACTACTTCTAATTTGGTGAGTACGTTGTTGTTTATATTGGATTATAGTTGTTGAATCTTATCTGGATAATTTAATGGGGGATCCTTGGTGCTCTCTGACCTTGGTTGTTTGCGTGGAGACGTTTCATTACAATACTATGTAATACCTTCAGTCAGATGTCTGCAAGCAAACAACCAAG